GCAAAAGGGGGCTGGATGAGGCGGAAAGTGTGCAATGATGAGGTGGAAATTGAGCAATTGACACCACGATAAGGTAGAAAATGTGTAGGTTTACTACTCTTTTCAGCCTAATCTTTGCCCGGATGAGATAGTAAACGTGTGGCGCTACTTAGCTTCTCAGACGCTGTCTGGTACTGAGCCCTCCCGCCACGTCAAGGCGAGCGCCGTTGAGAGGGAAAAACTACGCGTATTTAGGGCGTCGCATCCCGCCCAGAGCACAGTCACAGTCAAGAAGAAGATGAGGCCTGCGCAGGTTGACATGCAGAGGCCGTATGAAAAGATGAGGTGCAAATTGCACAATGATGAGGCAGAAATGCGGGCCTTTTTTTCCTGCCTGTGCTGCGAAAAGGTGGGTGTGCGGGAGACCGCTGGACTCACAACGCCACAGGCGAGAGCGAGTCGCAAATGAATGATATGATTCGAGCTGACCAAGCCCAGTGGTGAAACCCCACTATTTCTTAGCCTTCTTTGCCGTTTTGGTCTTCTTCGATGCTTTGTCGCTGAGCTTCTGCAACTTCGAAGACAGGGCGCGGCTCCCCAACACATGATAGTGTTTCAACGACGTCTTTTCGTCGTGCCCGACGAACCTCTGCAGCGTTCGCACCTCAGGGCAGGAAGGCCGAATGATTGGAACCCAGGACATGATAAGGTGGAAACATTGAAAGGGTGAGGTGACAAATTCATGCGTTTATTGCCTACTCGTGAACCGATGAAGAAGAAACGAATTATCAAACTTGCCTGGTGGAGCCGCCCGGTGATCTCGGGGTCAACGATCAAGTACCCCTCTGCTGCTCCCCTGACATCCGTGGAGCAGGCTCTGCATACCATCCGAATTCCTTTTCGGAAGGTATCGTACGGGATTGGCAGGAAAGGGGCACAACCGGGGCGCGCCGGAGGTTTGAAAGTGGGGCCTTCAGCCGGCAACTTGTAGTATGACACAAGAATGGGCCAGTCAGTCTCCATCCATGCACTGAATTCGGCGCTCCACTTTTTAGAGAGGAACTTGCGACTGACGAAGTACCCGCGGCTCAGCCGCTTCGCCTTCTCAGTTTTCACGGGGCTCACGCCAGCCGCCACGAAGAAGTACGCCTCAGCGTCTTCGTCCCAGTGCAGGGTTCGGTTCAGGACCTAGGATGCGATGAGGTGATAAACCAACAATGACAAGCAGAGATGAGGTGAAAATTGGATAGTTGGCAAGCCTAAATTTGAATGATGAGGTAGAAACATTGCTGCCAAGCTTCCAGGTTATGGGCTGTACCGATCCGCTCCGTCGTCTGAAAGACAAAGCTCCATGCAAGGCCGAACGCACGATATCGTGCGAGCCGCGCTTGCATGTACTCCGCTTCCGACTCCGGAGTGCCCTCTGGCAAGGCTTCGTTACGAAGGGCCTGATTCCGGCAGCGCTGGCTCCATTTGATCGCGTTGTCGACTAGCTCCTCGGCAGTCAGCGGCGGGTCGCCCAAAGGTTTCCCAGCCGGAAGGCCGCAGCCTTCGATGGCCCGCTTTTCTGCGGAAGTCTTGCCAAGACTGCGGATCAAATCGATCGTCCGCTGGATCTGGCGCTTCTTGACTTTCTTGGACCCCTCCAAGTACTTCGGGCCCAGGACCTGCAACGCCACAACCAATGATCTGGTGATGAGGCCAATGGCGCCGGGAGTCCATTTGGTGCCTCTGCATGTGTCGTCCTGGAAAGATGAGGTCAAAAAACAACATGATGAGGTGAAAACGCAATGACAATATAACCCAGACACACAAAGATAAGGTGAAAAGAGAGGTCCTCCTCGAGATGAACGTAGTAGGCCTTGAGGACATCATGGTCCACCAGCAATTCTGTGATGGACTTTTTCTCGGGAGACACGTTGTGTTTGTCGACCCATCCAAGAAGCTGGCGCAGGGAATACCAATGAATCTTGGCAGTCGCTTCCCCGCAGACCCTGTTTCTCGGGGATCCCTTAGCCTTCGAGCTCTGCACCGTGGTGAAAAAGTACTCCCTCACATCAGGGTCCACTTTGTCTTCAGAGATCGCGTATTTGTGCGTTTCGATCCCTGCTTTCGAAGGCTTGCGGTCGCGCAGGTCGTAGCCTGCCTTCCGCTTCTCGGGCTTCTGCTCCGGAGCCGCGGCTCTCTTGCCCTTCTTTTGGGGAACCACGGTGTCAAAGTGGTGCTCCTGTGTGTGACCAAAGAAAGAACACCAAGGATGAGGCAAAAAAAGACAAACGATGAGGTGATAAAACCTGTGTTTTCCACCCCCTCTGTCCATCATGTGGCAGATCGTCAACACGATCTCTGGCGTGTCCAAATCATCGAGCCAGTAAGGCATTTTCCACGTGATGCGCAGCTTGAGATCACCAGCCCCGGCATCAGGGTGCAATGAATAGATCTTGATTGCATAGCCAGTGGCATCGACGAAAGCCTGCCAAAGTTGAAGAGTAAGGTGAACAATTGCACAAATGAGGCGAAA